TAGGCAAGAAAATATACGATATTAGAGATATGAATATGGAACATATTGTATATATTTCATGTCTTACTTATTTTAATATATTTTAAATTGTACTTGGCAATGTGTGTATTGAAACAAAAACATTCTTTTTACATACATTTATATATTTTTTTTTATAAATAAATGAATTTGAATCTTGTATCTTGAAATACAAAAATCATTTTTAAGAACAATACCCCAACAATCTTTCTAACCCATAATAAATATCATAATGATGATAATTATAATGATGATGATGATGATAATGATGGTAATGTTAATGATGATGATGTTAATGATTATTGATGTGATATTGATGTTACGATACGATACGGTAAAACGTTATTAGAGTTTTCGCAACCCTACGAAAACAAATACGAATACGTCATTATCAGTACCGTCATTAGTGCTTAAACATTTTTGACAATATGCAGTACGAGTTAAACATGATTTGATGACGGAGCCGTATTCGTTATCGTATACGTAAACTTGCGAAAACTCCCTATTGTCACAAGAGTATAAAGATAGGCCTATTAGGTATGGTCCTTTACGTACACTTAAAAAAGTTAAAAAAAATATATAAAAATATATAAGGCATAAACAATAACTAAAGTAAAAAAAATAAAGAGACCTATATAAAAATTAATGAGATGGAATAAATACTAAAATAACTAATTACAACGAAAAACAATGATAAAAAAAAATGTAGCGAAGAGCTAGTAGAAATTGCAGGTAAAATTGGACTAATAAATTTTACAATATTGATTAACGCGTTTGTCGAAGATTTTAAAAAATATAAACAACTAATAAGGCTGTTAACAGTATCTAAAACAACTTTCATATAAACATTAAACAATATGTTAATGGCTTAACTTCCCTGGATTTCCAAAACTACAGCAGTAGAGGAAATAAATTGCCTATATCGCATAGCTACATGCATCTAAAAGTAGTTATCGTAGATCCGTTATTGAGGTTAAAATATTTTAGATTAGTTCACCATTTTATACACTTTGTGGCGCCGTGCTTTTATGTTTGATTTTTTATCCTTGTTGCTGTTCAAAACCCAGTAGCCGCGGAAAGTCCCCAATTATCGGGCACTCGAGTTGCTCGAATAATGCATTAAATCTTCTAGTATTATAATGAATACTAAAATATTCCATCTCATGTCATAGTCCCCAGAGGAAATTGCAATTCAAATAATAATAAAATCGTTTTCAGTATGACGTCATAAAATGTATATATATTTTTTTCTAAACCAGAGTTATAACAGATTACAACAGAAATTGGATGTTTGCTGTTGAACTTCAAAATTTAAAATCAATGTCTTTAAGGTTTAAACCAACCATCTATTTAGCTTTTACGAAGTATCCGGTTTACGGTAGTACAGTATATTTGCCTAGAACTATATCCGTAACCAACATTAATGGAATATCGAAGTTTCACCTACAGAATCGTCTTGGATTAGATTTGATCATAAATAGCTGTGATAAGGTAGTGCATTTTTCTGTAACGACGCAGTAGTAACAAGCATAATTAATTATAAAACGCTTAGGTCTCTAAAGGCTTAGGGTAGTAAAATATTTATTATATAACATCATCAGTAGATTAAGCGTATAATTACAACACGGAAAACGTATGTTGTGTAATAAATGACAGTGGGTACTGTACAATGAAGTATGTACAGTATTATGTGAAAAAATATACTTGGGCAGAGTATCATT